GGACAGGGTTCGGAAAAGGAGAGAGAATCTTAAGCAAGTCCCATGCCTAGCATGGAAACTAATGCAGGGCTAGATCTCACAACACTGAGACCATGCCTACCATGGAAACTAATGCAGGGCTAGATCTCACAACACTGAGATCATGACCTGAGTGAAATCAAGAGGTTTAACTGACTGAGCTACCCAGGCACCCCTCAAGAGTCCCCTTTTAATAATTCAATATCATGTGTTAGATGGGGAAAACTACAAAAAAATTAAGATTGTATATTACAGTTTAATTTTCAAAACTTTTATTTTGTTTCTAATTTCATTTATTTTCTGATAGCTAACTATCAGAATAACCACACATATTCACACACATATACATAGATGTTTTGACTCCATAATTCTGCTTAAAAATTTTGTTCTGTCTAGGATAACTGAGTCTGTCCTTTCCACCTTTTCAAATCTCATCCATTCTTCAAGATACTGAACAAATCCTACCTGCTCTATAAATTTTCTGATCATCATAGCATGAATTCCTCTGTCCTTCCTTTGAATATCTTGTCTTTAACATTTGTATTATTTGTTTATTAAACATGTCCTTCCTCCTCATAGTTCTTAGAATGTTTCACTGCTTAAATATTTTCATTTATGTTTTATATACAATAAGGTAAATTGTAAAATTATTATTTTTAAAACTACTTTATTTTTAAATAAATCCCTACACCTTACATGGGCCTTGAACTTAAAACTCCGAGATCAAGTGTTGTATGTTCTACCGAGTAGCCAGGTGTCCCTAAATTGTAAAATTATTAAGAACAGAGTGCTTCCTGAGTAAATCTTTATCGATTTGACGTCTAATTGTCTTTTGCAAAATCCAGCAAATATGACACAAATAACATATACAACATAAACAAACAATAAAATCTACATGATCGTATCTTATATTTCATATGGGAAAGTATGTATATATATCATATGTGCATGTATACATACATACATATGTATGTATGTATATAATTGTGTATACTTGTATGTAGATACTTTAACAACAGTGAAATATAGTAACTTAATTCTGATTAGCCTATGAGAACTTCTCAAAATGCACTCTCCTGTATTATCTCATGACTTTTAATAACTTGGGAAGGTTAGTGACAGACATTATACTCCTTGTTTTGTTTAGGAGAAAACTGATATTCAGAGAATTATAACTCAACTGTAAAGATTTGATCATTATTACTTAGAATTAATCAGGGGGGTACCACGACTAGGATCTAAGAGACTTCTAATCCACTGCCACTCAAACTATGTTTAGTGAAAGATCAGTTTCACACTCACTCCCATTCTATCACCAACTATTATTTTTAAAAAATATAGTATAAATGAATACTCTGAAAAAATATACATAACACAAATCCATTTAAAAAACTACTTGATTTAACAGCCATCAAATGACTTCAACAAATAACTTTAAGTTCTGAAATGGTTATCTTCAATGTGCTTATCATTTTGGATGGAGAACAAATAACACACGGATCATCTCCAGTCTCTGGACCACACTTTTGAGTATTGTCTCTGTCAATCATGACATACCCCTTCTAGGAGAATTATCCTCATCCAGAACATCTGCCACCTAAGTGGCCCTGTTGACTCAGAAGTGATCTCTGCCATCCACCATTTACAGCTGATTGGACTGAGACCAAAGAATGCTTGGCCAGAAAACTATGAACTCTGGCCAGGCTTGAAAAGATGAGCTGGACCCAGGAGTTTTTTTGTCTCTGTATTTAGGTCTAATAAGTAAAGAAAGGATTTTCTGTGACAGTCCAAAGTTTTGTACATGCTTAAAATATGAGCTAGCAGAAACTCTGAGTAAGCTTTGCAAGGTGGATTGGGGCACTAAAGAAAGGGGAAGATAGGAACTATAGCTGAGTCATATTAATAGCAGCTCACTAAAGATTCAAAAACTGCTGATGCTGAGGCACAGAAAGCTGCCATAACTCTGGAATTACCTTTCAACTCCAATATCCCATAGCCCCAGGCTTTAAGTAGCATTTTCTTTCAATGTCCCAAGATACATATCCCATACTTCTTGCAATGTACATATATATCCTAACTGGCATAAATGGGTCTCTGAATTATTCACGAAACTTAGTTTATTGAAGACAGAGTCCAAAGCTTTTTCCATTATACCTAATAATCTTATGCCAGGAACAACAGATGTCACATTTGAAAGACAAGTTGGTAGTGCATACATCTCTAACTGATTTTCAGTCTGCAGTGAGACTGTAAGCAAAACTGCGCTGATCTGGTGGAACTCTGGTACCAAATATCCATCTCCTTCCTACCTACATAACTACTTCTCAGTTTCTTTGTTTCCAACATACTCCTGAAATATATTAATTACAATATTTTCCATAGTTAATTATATGGAGGAATTCCTTCAAACTTCTATCAAATTACTTCAGTCATGGAGAAACTTCCATAGTTCACCTGCTCTTTGTATGGACTTCAATTTGCAGAGCTTTTTAGAACCAGGACCAATGATCTAATGGACCAGACATGTGCTTTTAGTGTGTATGAATCCAGATACATATTATGTGTTAGTGGTTTCTGGAATCCTCCCAGAAATAAAGGTGCAGGCTTGAGATTGAGTGCATAGTGATTCTCAAAACATGTTTTATTGCCCTGATGCTTTTTTTAATGAACATGTTCAGATTATTTTTATCTCTTTAGTTATATTATAACATACTTGGTTTGTAGTAAAGAAGTATCTTTTAGTATAAAAATGGAAGCATAACTTCTTTTATTATTCTCCAGTATATTTCAGATTTTAAATGACTGTTAAATTGAATGGTTTATTTCAGAGGTTAACAACATGGGGTCTTAGATTAAAACAAGCCCTGTATAATCTTATTGAGCCAGTAGGTCACAAAAATAAGAGAAAATGTGTTTGAATCACTGGAGAGAAGGGATGTTGGATGGATCTGTGAAATATTTCATGTTGTAGTATCAGCTGATTGATAGCAGTGATTCTCAGAAGGGTTCCAATATTATGCCTTTTAAAAGCTGGAGATTAGTGCAACCATGGTGAACAGCACAACACTCTGGCAAAGAAAAAGGGTCAGGGCTGGCAAAATGTGGCAGGTGTCAAAATAAAAGGTTAGGCTCTGTGCCTGGGGACCCATCTGTCAGATACAAGTATGATAAGCAATTAATGTATTTATTTATATTGCTCATGACAAACCATGTATTCCATGAAAATGGTCAATTTAAACATCTTCCACTGTTTGCTAGAAATTAGAATATAAAAATAAAATGTTCAAGACAAAAAGTAAGGTATAATAATGAAGGGGTTTGTTTCTATAAATAAGTAAAGGTTTGAAAAATTCTAGTAGTCTGAATTGAAGGATTAAATCCATTAAATATAACATTTTAACAATATAGTGGTTATATTAAGGATCTACAAAATCAATGTTTATTTTGCAGGATAATTTTGGTAGCATTCCTTGTAAGTTCAGGATGCTTTATACTCATTAGGCTAGATTTCATAATTGAATAATGCAACGAAGCCCAGAAAAATTATGAGGGAATAGAAATTTAGAAATCTAATATATGTCTTGCATTTTCTTTAAATGTTTTGTTCACAACCTTGTCATTATTAGAGCTTTCATTTGCACTTTGTGACTAATCCCAACTCCTCTTTATTATTTATTTAGCTTTCTCACTACTTCTGCTTTCCAATCTGTTTAAACTAGATTATGTTTATATTTAACATTCATCAGTGAGACTTTTTTTACAGATAAAATACATTATAACTTTTAAATCATAATCATAAGCTTTTAAAATGTTATTTTATTTTACTGGTCAGTAAAAATCTAACCCAGAATTATGAGTAAAATCAGACTTACTAAAATTTTATGGATAAACTAAGCTCCCCCCATATTTTTCCCTGAATAAAGTTAAAGCTCTCAATTATGTTTTAGTAAGTGAAACTCACACCTTATGGTAATACCAAAATTTGAAGAGAAACAACATGTAAGTCTATACTGTAATATGTTATACGGAGGGAAAATTCAAGTTCCTTCATTGTAGGGGGAGAAATGCCAATATGACTATGTTATTGCAAGTTGCACATCCTGTCTGCTAAGTGATGAAATTAAACAAGCAAAGCCACTGAAATAGTAAAGAGAATTATTTGGCTTTGGAAAGAACAGAGGTATTATGTTCAATAGATTTATTTTCTTTTTGTTGAAGCAATGTATATGCCATCAGTATGTTCCATTTATTGGAAAGATACTGGTTAAACTTTAAGTCAATGATTCTTCTCCCCAGAATTCCCTTCTAGCTCTGATATCATTAGAGTCTTAAACTATCTGCTATTGTTACTATCAAACTTGGCTTCCCATGGTATAACAGCAATGTTAGAGTAGGAGTTGAGGAAGGAAATCTACATTAAAAAAAAGATACAAACTTTAAACTTTGTTTTATGTTCCACTTAATGGTCTGATACATGATTTACAAATTATGTTTGAAATTTAATTATAATTAACTGTTACTTAAAGTCAAATTAATTCATGGCTTTACTTCCTGATTGAATTCAATGTTTTTCCTACTGCCAATTTTATTTCATTTGAACCTCAATCATCTAAGTTAGCTCTGTTTCTTATCTATTTACTTTCATTTGATTGGATGCCCTTGAAGAAAATGTATCAGGCCAAAAAAATAATATATATATAATTCCTTATTTGCCATTCTATACAACTCTTCAAGATCCTAGGATATGCTACATAATAAAAATAATAACTTCAACAGAAAGTCAAGATGTCACTGAATTTTGCCAGAGAGACACAAGAATAATATATCAAACAGAAGGTAAGATTTTTGTTTTACTTCTTGACAGTGAGAATTATTTATTTTAAGTTATTTCTTTCAAAGCATATATGGGAAGAAAATATACATTGGGGCTCATATTTATGAAAAGAAAAATCAACTTAATTTTTACTTTTGTTTTTCTACAGACGTATATGAGAACAATTTTGCTGGGTATATATTTACTTCAATTCAACCATTTGGAGAAATAATGAAAATTCTGATGAGTTTTAAAACTCGTAGTACAAATATGCATTGATCTATCACCACAGGTATGCTTTCATAAATTTCATCTTCTCAATCAGATATAAATTTACACCAATTTGCAAAATTGTTTTTTTTTTTTTTTTTTTTTTACTCTTTGAAAGCTCAATACATATAATATTACTTGGGAAAATAACTTTTGCCATTTGTCATTTTTTCGATCTTTGGTAATGGTAAATGGTATTCAAGATTACCTTAATTATTTTTAACAAATGATGAAAATTCTTAGTATAAAATCTGTTATGTGAATAAAATACCCCAATACAATTTCATTTTGTACTCTGAAAAGACTATTACTTTCAAAAGTTCTATCATTCCCAACTTTTTTTTTTTTTTTTTTTTTTTTTTGAGAGAGAGAGAGAGCACAAGCATGAGGGGAGAGGAGAGGGAGAGAGATTCTTAAGCTGGCTCCATACCTAGTGTGGAGCTGGATGCAGGGCTTGATGTCATGACCCTGATATCATGACCTGAGCTGAAATCTAGAGTTAGACACTTAACCAAATGAGCCAGCCAGGCACACCCTATTGTTTCCAAATTTTTAAGATGTGTTTCCATCAAACAGAAAATTATGTTTTTCATCACATAAAATAATATTAGGTCTCACCCATTCTCAAGGCATCATTCATATCCCCATCTCAGGCTCTCTATGTTTGTTTCTCCTACAGTTATTTTTTAAAAAATAGATTAACCACTCATGCAAAGCAAGGTAAGTGTTATGATTCTGCTCATTTACAGATAAAGATATTCTGGTACAGAGAGTTTAAATAATTTGTACATGAACCGACTTTATTTTGGTAATTTGACTTCTGTCCATCTACTTACTTCCTCAAACAAGGAATGCCAGAACGTTGAAGAAAGAAAGAGCAGAAGTGTGAAAGTTATGTCATAAGATAAGAAGAAAAGAACTATGAAAACAAAAATAAAATAAAGTAAAAAGAAGCCATCTGAAGTAGCAAAGGAGTTTGTTGGGGGCCAAGAATAAAGATTTTAAGATAAAAAGTAGTAGCAGAATATGAATAAAATCCAACACTGGCAAAAATTCTGGAAGGTTAGGATGGAAATGGAAATGGAAGACCAATGTAAATGGTGAGGGACGAAGCATAGTTTTTCTTGTCCGCTCACATATGCTTATTGAAAAATTCTAAGAGAATAGTCCCTGCATTCGTTTCTCAAAGGGAACAGAGATGAATCTATGTTTGTGGCATTAAAGACGTTACTGACATCTATGATTTTTGTGATTTGTCAGGTGAATAAGCATTATTATCTGATGGCTTAGAGGATGGACTTTTGTAGGCAACCAGGAACAGAGATTCTGGCTCTCCGACTTATTAGGATTTTGTTCTTGGCAGTGGCATGCTAGAGGCACCTCCTATAGGCTCCTGATTATGTGTATCTTTTCCATCTCTTCCCAGTATCATGTTCAATGACATCACACACTGGTAGTTTAAAATCAGTCAAATTGAAATTACTTATATCCCCCAAATTGGCAAACACTATAGATATAGTCCTTATTCTTCATGTGCTGGTGTACCAGTACAGCACTGGACCTTGAGTGAATTTCCTAACCTTCTCAAGCTTTAGGGTTTTTTTCATCCAAAAAGAAAAAAAAAATAGATATGACAGGTCTTCTTAGAATTCTGCAGACCTTTCAATGGATGATATATTTCATATGGTGCTTGATACCTAGTAAGCATCAATAACAGTAGCACTCTAGTTATTTAATTCAGCTTATCACAGAGAACATCGAACAATTCTGCCTTTTCAACACACTAGAAAGCATTTCAATTAGTTCATTAAAATTCTAGGAGAGAAGGATTTGTAAAAATTATTTTACTGACTTTACAGATGAAATGGTTTCCCTTACATAAGATTTTTGTAAAGAAGATAAACAATTACTAATACTTGCATAGTAATTTCTTCTATATGGTTAGTTTAGAAAACTTCTGTTTCCTATGGTAACTCATATATAAAAGCTGAAGGGCATCTCTTGGGGTTTTAACCCACTGTTCTCTGAATTAGATTAAATGCATGGCTTCAGTTATTCAACCTTCTTGATAAGTTAATACAAAGACTGATTCTGGCTATACACCCCACTGTTTAGAAAGCTCAAACAAAATTCTGAGCCAGAGGCCACTGTATCTATCAAGATGACAGGCAGTATGTATGTCTTGAAACTTTAAAGGTGGGCACTGCAGGAAATAAGGAATCTAAGAAAGGATTAACCAGTCTAGAGATAACCCTGCTTAGTTGCCTCTGCTAATAGTTCTCTCATCTAGATATTCTTTGATGTGGATTATTTATTCTTAGGATTGTTATTTCATTTTTCTGTCCTTGGAATATAATTCTTCAGACTATTTTAACTTTTATTATTTATTTATTTACGTATTTTTGAGCTAGCTCCATGCCTAGCATGGGTCTTGAACTCATGACTTGAGTACAAGAGTTGCATGTTCCACTGACTAAGCTAGTCAGGCACCCTATAAAATTTTAAAATAAGTTATACATATACTTTTTCCACTATACTTCACAAAGCATGTCTTTAAAGTATTTTAAAATTCATTTAAGTATTTTGTAGTAGGAAAAAACAACTGAAATTGAACTGAATTCTAATATCCTCTCTTATTCCAAAGACATGGTAGATTTTTTTGCAAAGATGACTAAAATAATTCCTCCTATCTCTGTATACATACACCTTTGCAGTATGACTTTGCTTTTCCTCTAACCATAGGTGAGCTACAGTTTCTCTATTCTTTCAGTGTAGGCTGTGCCCAGTGGCTTGCTTTAGTCAAAGCAAAGATGATGAAAGCAGATGTTTGAAAAGCATTTGCACGTTAGGGTTTGCTGTTTTTGCTGCCCTGAGACCACTATGAACAGCTTGAACTAGCTTTCTGGAGAATGAGACCACATGGGGTAGAAATGAGCTCTACTAGCTAAGGACAACTAGACCAACCAAGCTGCCAAACACCAGACACATGAACAAGCCCATTCTAGATGTTTCAGCCTTGGATGACCTATCTGCTAACTGGACAACCAACTTATTATCCCACAAAATTATAAACAAAAATGGAATAGTTGTTGTTTTAAGCCAGGGGTCTGCCAATCTACAGCCCAAGGGCCAAATTCAGAACATCACATATTTTTGAAAATCAAATTTTACTGGGACATGGCCAAACTCATTTGCTTATGTACTGTCTCCTCTTTTTTTGCTTATGTACTGTCTCTATAATGAAAGAGTTGAGTAGCTGCAATAGAAACTGTATGGCCTACAAAGCCTAAAATATTTCCTATCTATCTTCCCCTTTATAGAAAAAGTTTGCTGATCCTGTTTTTTAAGGCACTAAGTTTTGGGGTGGTTTGTTAAGTAACAGTAGAAAAAGAGCACAGATATATTTTCAAAAAAGGGATATGCCTCATTTCTTATTAAACTAATAAAGTCCTATGCTCACGAAAAAATACATTTTGGGGAGGGTCAGTTATTTCTTTTATGGCAAAAAGCAATACATTCAGTTTGCATTTCTAAAGTACTGTTATGAAGATTTTAGTTGTACACCAATATCTGGTCTTCTCCTTTTCCAGAGTAATACATTGAGCTGGGAATGTAGCCACTCAGTCAGAGATTATACTTATGAGTTCTATTCTCAGTTATGTATGACCACAGGCCAAAGTTTCCTCCTGAAGACTATGAATGGAAGTGATGTGGACTACCATTTTGTGGACTTTCTTTATGCTCCCATTCTCCTTCCCACTAACTGGAACTTACAGCAAACTGATTTATCATGGAGGCAGGTAGCATGTCCTAGAGAATGGAGGAGTACACAATCAAGAGAACTTTAGTCACTTAAAAACCATGTGGAGTAGAGCCACCTTCCAACTTGGCCCATTCATCTTAGACTATAACATGAGAGAGAAATAAACTTGAAAATTCCATAAGCCACTGAATAATTCTTAGGGTTTTTATTTTTATTTATTTATTTTTTTTTGCAGCAGGTTACTCTTATTCTAACTAATACAATACTCTTACATAGTATATTTGGCACCAAAATGATTCAGTTGGCAAACACTGGATCTTGGGTCAAAAACTCGAGGATACTTTGAAAGACTTTGCCCCAATTTTCTGAACTGACCAGAGGCAAGTCACTTATAGTAACTGTGATATTGTTTCCCCAGATAAAAACATACAACTCTAGATAGGCTAAGCAGGAATTTTGGAAACTGGCTTTTCTAATTTCTACTTCTACCATGGAAGAGGGCCACAATAACTGGTGATTGCCCTAGGCATGTGTCATTTTAGTCCCAAGAAATGTTTACATACCAACATAGTGCCTTTGGAAATATCATGGGAAATAATCAAGGTGAGTTTTTGGCACTTGGAGAGCTAGGGATGGTTTTCCCTTGAAAAGACACATACATTTCATTTTGAGAAAACTAGAAGAAAATTGGGGAAGATTTTAGTTACATCTTGAATATATACTCAATGATGGCAGATAGTAAGGCTCAGGTTTTAGTGTATATGAGAGGAAGTTGTTAGGGATGTAGATTTCGATTAGCTCTCTTCCTCTCCTCATACTTCCAGAGATTATTGGTATATCCTCCTAGAGATTATGAAAGTATCCTCCTCATACTCCCTAAATCATAGGACTAGTGGTGGATATCTCCAAATTTATACAGTACCCTGAGTGAGTCTAAGATAGGAGGTCAGTGACTCTTTGAGAAACCAGAGTCACAGCAGAAATTAAATTCCAATATTAAGACTCAGTTCTAGGAATTGGAACTCGATGTGGCAAATAAATTCTAGAGAAGAAGAGTTATATCAAAGTTTCTCAAAGAAGTATTTTATGAATGATTTTGTTGAAAAACTAATAAGGAAGAACTACCAAACTCACCAGTGAAAATGAAATTGGCCCATTTTCCCTGTGAATTTCTTATTCAGTATTCAGTGTCCAGTTTAAGAGTTTAAACTTCCTTTGGAAGTTATATGAGGTGCTTTCATCATACTCCATAACTTCTGGATCAGAGCACATTAAGTTTAGATATCTGATTGTATGTCTCCTCTACTGGATTACATGTTCTGTAAGGAAAAAAAAAAATGTTTCTTTCGTGCTCACCAGCATATCCACAGCTTATTAGGATGCCAAGAATATGCAAAAGACTTATCTAATACTTATGGAAGGAATAAATCTCTGAATGGAAAAATAGCTAGTTGGTTTTACAAACAGAGGAAATGGACATGAACAGTAAGGACACCAGATGAAAATAGCCTAAAAAATGTGTCAAACATATAATGACTTAAGCAATATAGATCCAACAGAGGTAGGTTCAGGAGGTAGTGTTGGGTCTTGTCCCCTTGAGGGCATTCTAGTTTGGAGAAAGGAGTAGATTTTAGTGCAGAGCTAAGGATCAGAGATAAAAAGCCCTTATTCAGACCTGTCTCCCTGCAAGGACTATATATTGCTTTGGGGAAGGGACTTTGAACCATTTTGATTTTCTGTTCTGTCATTCTTCTATTTTATTAAATATTCTTTTGGATAATATTGAGGATAATGTGCTTGTGAGAAATGGGGCTGCTGTTTCGATTTCCCAGCTATCAGATAAGTGATGTCCTAGATAGTAGGATCCAAACTTGAACAGTTAGAAGGACAACTGAAATGTAGAATCTAAAAAAGTTAAACTCATAGAAATACAGAGTTAGAATGATGGTTGTGCAAGGTGGGATGGTGGAGGAAATGGGGAGGTTGGTCAACAGGCACAAAATTTAAGTTGTAAGTTGAATAAGTTCTAGGGATCTAATTTACAGCATGGTAACTACAGTGAATAATACCATATTGTATACTTGAAATCTGCTAATGGAGGAGGTCTTAAGTGTTCTCACCACAAACAATAACAACATAAACTATAACAATGTGAGATGATATGTTAGTTTATTTTTTTTTTTTTTAAAGATTTTATTTATTTATTTGACAGACAGAGATCACAAGTAGACAGAGAGGCAGGCAGAGAGAGAGAGAGGGAAGCAGGCTCCCTGTCGAGCAGAGAGCCCGATGCGGGACCCGATCCCAGGACCCTGAGATCATGACCTGAGCCGAAGGCAGCGGCCTAACCCATTGAGCCACCCAGGCGCCCGATGATATGTTAGTTTAATTGCAGTAATCATTTCACAATGCATATGTATAATCACCACATTATATATCTTAAACATATGCAATTTTTATTTGTCAAATTATACCTTAATAAAGCTGGGGTGGGGAATATAACTGACTTAAAAAATAAACCATCTCTCCAGATTGTTTCTGACACAATTGTTTAACATTTAACTAAAATATATTATTTGTCTGCTCAAAACTCAGGTTTTAAGGTACTGTGTATTCTAAAAGTAAAAGAGAAAGAAATGAAAGACATTAATACATTAAAGGAGAAAACAGCAGAAGCTTGTGAAAAAGGTACAATGCAGGCTGAAGTCATTTAACCCTCCTCTACCCAGATCTCATTAGTAAAATTAGGAGGCAAGATGAAATAATTTATAAGGTTGCTATTAGCTTTAAAATTTTTATGAGTTCAGAGCCTTTAAAAACATGGTGTCTTCAGCAAAAAATATCACACAAAATTTTTTTTCAATATTCCCTTTTACCTATAATGGAAACAAGTTAAAAATAATAGGCCTAATGTTCACAAATCCATTAAATATTCACTACTTACTCTCTTGATGACCATTTTGATTCGATACACGGCATGTATAAATCATCAATATTTTCAAAATTCAAAAGTGTACATGAAGGAATTTTTTAGCTTCTGTGATGGCTTTGAACTAAAGTATAATATATCTTCTTGTTTGTGCAAATGTTTTTATGCTTATCATTTGTCAGTAAGCCTAAGAATTTAAGTACAATATTATATATACACGCTAAGAGCTTAGTTTGTCATTCTAATTTCCCTCTTGAATTGCAAATTGCATAACTTCTCTAGGGTTCCCCCATTTATTTTAAAAATGTTGGTATCCAAGTAACAAGCCAAAAAAGGAACTTCTTCAAACCATGTGATCTGCTAACACTGAAAATAAAATGAATTATTTCCCTTGAGGGAAATGTTATTAAGGATAAAGAGGAGGCAGGTAAATAAACAGATAGATTGATAAGTAGGTAGATACATTTGTTTATAGATAAATAATGTGCTAATACTATTTTATAGCTTTACATATTTTTCTTATTTTAATTCTATGTCCTTGCTAGTATTTTTCTTTTTTCAATAAAAAAATTACCATTTATTTTTCTTCTTAATGCTGTCTTTTTTGTGTTTTCTGTGAATACTTCCTAAATATTCATAGAATAGTTCTCTGTACTAGATGTTATACAGTAAATATTTCCTGATTGATTAATCTTTTCAATGCTGCTTCCAATACCTCCTTCCCATCCTCAGTGTGACAGTGTCATGTACCTTAACAGCCTTCCACCCCCACTTCTTCTAGGGGTATGTGATGTAATTGTGGCCAATGAGACACAAGCCAACATCTTCTAGATTTTTTCCACTCTTCAGACAAAAGGAAGAGATGCCTTTCATCCAACCTTTGAACAGTCTTACGAGAAGCTGTTTGAAGCTGCTATAGCCATCTTGTAAGGCTGGAGAGAATATCAGACATTCTAAGGAAGACAGAGAAGACAGTCTCTGAACCAACCCTGTACCACCCTACTTTTATTAAAAGTTCTTGATATGTGACATAATAAATTTTCCTTGTTGTTTAAACCACTTTTAGTTGGGTCTTCTGTTTCTTGCAGCTGAATTGATACACTCATGTTTATTTCCAATCTCCATGTACATAAACACCATGTTCTTATAGAGCCTACCCAGTCTAAAATCGTAGATAAGCGTAAAATAACACAACAGCACAGTTTCCTTTGAGAAAGAAACAGATCACAGGTGTAAGCCTACCCCAATTATATAATAATTATATAATAAGCACCACACTAATTATATAATAATAAGAGCAACAGCTTACGATTATTGAGCACTTTCAATGAATAAAAAAAGGACAATGTGCTACAACCTTCACATACATTAATCTTCACAACAAATCTCTAAATTGGGGAATAGCATTATCCCTACTGTTAAAAATGCAGAAAACGTGGCAAAGGGATTCTAAGTAACCTGCCAAGATCCCACATCTAATAAATGAATAAACTCAAGGAATGACTGGAATGAGCCAATGATCATTATGCTTTCTCTTAATGCTTGTGTGTATTTCAGATACAGTCTATATGTGGACCCTTGATGGCATGTAGGAATAAAAGGAACAGACTAGCACATCATCTTGGTGTTTTCTAAGCTTGCCACTTAGAGCTCTGTGAATGGACTACACTAATGATTTGCGGGTATGAGGAAGATATATAGCACTGTATATATAGCACTGCAATTAAAGAAGAACATTAAAATGACATCTAGCAAGACTGATATTCTTCTACACTGAGAAAATTTTACATGTTCACTGGTGGTTTCAAAGTTATAGACATCACTTAACACAATTACATAAAACATGCCATATTTCCCTGGACATACTATACATCCTTCCTATAAAAAAAAAAAAGGTGAATTAAAAAGTAAACTATTAGTCGAAGTTTATTATTTTAAAAATTATTATCATCTTGATTTTGAGAATATAGGAGGCTCAGAATAGTAAAGTATGATATTTTTTGAATAGACCAAAACTCAAGATCTAGAGTGAATAAAATTAGGTAATGAAATTATTAAAACTTCTTTTCCTAAATAATTTTATCAATAATTATGATCTACTTAATAGACATGATCTTTAAAACTAATTTTATAATTTTATGCATTATTTTGTTATGTAGTATTTGATATGCAAAATTGATATATAAAATTTGATATATATCAATAACAATATTTGATAATAAAAATCATATCAAATCAATACAAATAAAATAGTCATGAACATTTTGGGCAGCACAATACACAGAATATTATGCATATCACTGAGGTAGTGCTTATGTTCTTCTCCAACTCCTACCCCCTTGCCAATCCCCAAAGGTAACAAATATCCTGAATGGTGGTTTCACTGTTACTTTGCTTTTTCAAATAGTTTCTACTATAAATGTGTCTCTAGAATTTAAACTTTATAATTTTGAGCTCACATAATAGGAGTTTTATAATGTCCACATGTGGTCTGTATCTTGGTTTTCTCACTCAAGGCTATGTTTCTTAGATTCATGATATTGCAGGTAGCTGCAATCTGTTCATTTTCATGACTACATAATATTTCACTGGGTACCTATACAATAAGGTTCTAATTCAGTCACTTCCAAAAATATTGTTTTTTTTCCCAGTTTTTTAAAAAATTACTTAGTAATATATTACTCGTGTATTCAAATTCTATTTTTAAAATTTCTTTCTACTTAATGTATCAGCAATTTAAAGAGGTGAATGGAAGTCTCTCACTATGATCGTGGATTTGTCACTTTGTTTCAGCCATTTTTGCTGTATATATTTTGAGAATGTTTTATTAGGTGCACACAACTTAAGAATTATGAAATCTTTCTGAGGAGTGTGTTTTTATCATTACATATTTAGTCATTATATTCCTAATTGTGCTATTTTATTCATTAAAGTTTATCTTCTCAGTTTTTTAACAGGTTTTTAAATTAATGTTTGCCTGCTATATGTATTTTTATACTTTTTTCAATTTTCCCTAACCTTATATATACTGGTGGTCCCTTAGCAGAGGGGATCTAAAAATGTCTTCTTTGCTGATGTTTAGTCCATGTCTTAAATATGCTTGTTTAGAAAACAGACTTTGAGGCGAAAGCTCATGTGCTATAGCTTTCTTGGGAATGCAATCCCAGAGAAGCAGGAGAAGGGAAAACTGAGGCCAATAAGACCTATATCCTGAGCTGGTCATAGCTCTACATCACAGTTGACTGTTCCTTGTTGCAGGGAATCTCCAGAGGGACTATATTAAACTGTTTCAACTTGAAATAGTCTATTGGGGGGAAGGAAAGGCAAACAATTTATTTGCTGGCTCCTTCTTTTTTTTTTTATGTCATCACAGATTTTTTTATTGAGATAAAATTGACATATGATATATTAGTTTTTGAACAACATAATGATTTGTTATATGTATATATAGTGAAATGACCATCACAATAAGCCTTCTTAACATCCATCAGCACAGAGTTAGTGTGTGTGATGAGAACTTTTAAGATCTACTCTCATCAGTATCAAAGATATAATACAGGATTATTAAGTATAGTCACCAACCTCACAGATATTTTGACCTGGGGAAAAAAGTAGTGAAAGCTACAATGTCCTTATACCCCACCTCCTCCCCACCCCTGTCTTTTTTTAAACTCTGGGTGTTATGCTTGGAGAAGTCTGGGCAATCCTTTCCCAGGAGGTGACTCCTGATTACTATTTTTTGTTGGCAATATAGCCTGCTCTATATAGTATTAACAACCCAAATTTCTGGATTGTGTTAGCTGGCCCTTCCTGGTAGATGCTGGTGAAGCCAGAGCCTCTAGGCATCCAGTGCACCCAATAGGTTGATGGAGTGTTTTGATGTCAGTTGGTGCAAAGTGTGGAAGCACCTAAATATGTGGTGATGGAGATGGAGGTATCCAGGACGTCACGACTGTGGAAGGTGTGAGTATTTGCTAGAGCCGCTCTCCTTCCACTTCATCACTAGAGAGGCAAGCGGCTGAGGCATAGGTGGTTTCATGCAGACATAGGTGGTTTTATGCAGAACTCAGGTAGTGCATAAATTGAGCCCAGTACAGTCCATCTCTGCAATATATGGATTTGCTTGCAGTCAATCGCATGTGAGTGTAAGTGCCCATACATTTTCTCTGAAAGCTGAAGTGCAAGTCCAGTTTGTTTAGGAGGTGGTGGATTGTAGGAAACTGAAAGACTGTAGTACAGAGTTTTAGCAGATCATAGTTACAGTCCTTACTGCTTCAGCTGGTCCAGTGTTGTAATTAAAGGATTTAAGGAATAAAAAGTTCAGTGAGAAAATAATAGAAGTTCAGACAGAAGAGAAAATGGCATTATGCTAGGTTTAGAATACCTAAAACTTTTCAGAATCCAGAAGTTGTATAAGCTCTAGTCTTTTTTTTTTCTTATTTTCATCCCCCTCCCACTAACCAGATGTCAAACATTTTTCATATATTATGGAATTAAACTTTTTAAACATTTGCCCCCAATAAATACTTTTAGAATGAATATATATATGAATATATATACATATATATTCATATATATGTATTTTAAGATTTTATTTATTTATTTGACAGAGAAAGAGAGAACAAGCAGGGGGAGCAGCAGAGGGAGAGGGAGAAGCAGGCTCCCTGCTGAGCAGAGAGCCCGATATGGGACTTGATCCCAGAACCCTGGGATCATGACCTGAGCTGAAGGAAGACACTTAACCCGACTGAGCCACCCAGGCACCTGAAAAAACCTATTTTTAAGCCTCTCTTAAATGTAGTGAGAATAGATTTGTTGTGTAATTTCTAAAATTGATTCCTCTTATGAGTGGTCTATCATGAAGGAAAATGTCAATTAGAAAATGAAGTTTCTCATGTATGTACTTGAAACTCTGAGGGGGCTCTAAGTTAAGCCACTATAATAAGTGAAAAAAACAAACAGAAAGCTGATTGTTCTAGATTCTATATGAAGTATATACTTAATACAAAAATTCCTCTGAAATGTCAACCAAAAAGTTTTTGGGATATAGCTCAATATTGTAAGAGAGAAAAGGACAAATATATTTTAAAATAGGCTTAGTGGAAGGGGGATGGGAATAGCATTTTATGACAAGGAGAAAGTCTACATGTATGTGGAAATAAAACTTCAGAAGGAACAGAGAGAATAAGGAAATAAAAGAAGGGGATAAAAGAAGCAAAGCCATTGGAAAATTTTGTAGTTTCTGGGATACTTTGATAAACATTGTAAAGCTATCGTAAGGGCAAGGCACAGTATTCTATGAAGAGGGATTTCAACTCTGTGAACCTTCTCCCAAGGTAGAGTATCTGAAAACATACTAATTATGTTGGTAATAAATGTGTGCCAGGAGGATAGCAGGAAAGAAATAAGAGTTACAATTAATTTTCATCAATGTGGAAAAACTATTGGTGGTAAAAAAAAAAAAAAGTGTTAGGGCAATTAGAAATCTAGTGTTCATGCAATCAGCGTGGTTCTTTTCTGTTTGCTAGTTTTCTGCCTGCTTCACTGACACCTTATAGATCCCCTTTCTGGCTAAGGAGGGGCTCTGAGGGCTATACCTAGGTTGGAGTTCTCTGAAATAGGTCACAGGGGTAAGGTGAAAGTCATCACAGCTTGTAGAATACAGAGAAGAGAAAGATTAGAAAGTCAAGAACAAAGGGTAAGTCTGGGATTAACCAAAACATTCTATTAACACCTCCATTTGAGGAAGATGGGTTGAAATGCTGAAACTGGGGTCAAGGTTACAGACAAGGAACCTATGTCCTAGCTGGTGAGGCTACTGAGAGCATTCTTAAAATCACTGAACTGGGACAATTTATCTTAGCCCTGCAGGGTAGCAGCCCTTCAAACATCACCCAATCCTTAAATTATTTTTTAAAGGATTTTATTATTTTCCACTTCTCTTAATGATAAAAGAAAAAAAAGTCATTTCAATGATTTTTCTAATCTATGGATCCTGACACCTCTCCAATCTTTGCCTGTAGCCTCATCATCTCTTCTGAACTAACATCAAT